GAAGGAAGGAAGGAAGGAAGGAAGGAAGGAAGGAAGGAAGGAAGGAAAGATTGATTGCAATAGCACTTAGACTTATATATCGCTTCACACTGCTTTACAACCAACCCTCTTTAAGCAGTTTTTACAGAGTCAGCCTATTGCCCCCAACAATCTGGGTCCTCATTTTATCAACTTCAGAAGGATGGAAAGCTGAGTCAACCTTGAGCCAATGAGAATCAAACTGCTGAACTGCTGAACTGCTGGCAGCCAGCAGTCAGCAGAAATAGCCTGCAGTTCTGTATTCTAACCACTGCGCCACCAGGGCTCTTAAAGACCAAGGTTCAAAGACAATTAGGGGAAAAACATCCACAAATGGCCAGTAACAACCAGAGACAAAAGGAAGCAAGTAGGTCTGTGGGCTGTTCAATGTTCTGGATGAATATAATACAATCAGTTTGCTCTGTGGTGTACATCCACGTCCTGCTGACTAAGGGCAATCTACATCTTACGTTTAAGATCAATGCTTTATGGTTGACTGGCAGTGCATCCCTTGTCCAGCAAATAACACCCTCAAGAATGTGGGAATTACTAGGGTAAATGACACAGTGACATTGTATTACTCACATCTACATGGTAACTCGATGGGGCAACTCATCTTCTGCAAGATGAAATTCCTCTGTGGGATTTCGTAGTGAAGGGAGACTGAGGCATCTTATCTCTCCCTCCATATCACTATCAGCTGTTGGCTTATCTACTTATTCTGGAATAAGCAGGTGAAGAAAAATCTAGCCAACAGATTATCCGTGTCCTCTTAGTGGCAAGTAAGCAGTAAGCATTGACTATCACTGCATCTACTCTTTCAGCCATTAGGTTAAAAGCAAGAGTTTAAGTAGTATTTTCTGGGTTTCTATGGTCAAGTCTGTTACCCTGTCTGGTCACATGTTGAGTTTAGTGCACTGAAAATAGAACTAAACAATACAAGCCAGTGGGTTGCCAAAACATATAGAAATATTTATGAAAAGGAGGGAGTTCCACACTGGAGCTCGCTGCTGGATTCATGGCAGACTCCCCTCTTCCTGCAATTCTCTGCTCTTTTTGGTTATCATACAATACGGGTGGTATTTTCAAGTTGTGTTCCTTTTTCACTGTTTGTTTCATGGGTTCTGTTATTTTACTTCTCTTCTGCTTATTTTTTGCTTTCATTCTCCCCCCCCCCTTTTTTAAATTATCGTAAGCTACCTAGAGTAGCCCCACAGGCGGCAAATAAATTTAACAAATAAAATGATAAATAATACGTTTCATTAAGGGTGTTACTGTACACTCAACGTTCAAAGTAATACTATCTCTACTTCTTTAGGCCACTTTTTAAAAATAACCGGTAACATTTGGAGACTTTTTATTCATTTATTTAAATAATTCACTAAGGGCTTGTGGAAAAACTTTCCAGCTTGGTCTAGTGCAGGGGTGTCCAAGTCGATTTCATTGAGGGCTGCATGAGAGTTTGCCCCTCATTTTGTCTTTACAGTTCTACAGTCTGCAGTTTCAGAAGTCCTGAGGCAAAGAGGTGAAAGATTAATGATTGACAAGTGTTATATTTCTAATTCCTTCCTCATCCCAACATTAGAAGGCTCAAGCCTTAGTTGTAAATTTGAGAGAGGGGCATCATTTACTGTTTCACAGGGTCATAGACTGGCTTAAGATACACTCATTTAAGGTATCTGCTATTTAAATCACAACAGGTTTATGTACGTGTTTTTCACCTAAATATTTATGACTCCCTACAGGTCTGAACGGAAGACAATCCCAATTAATGTCAGGTTTTATGTGACAGGTGATCTAACTTAAACCTGGTGTCAGCCTTGGAAGCCATATTTTACTTGAAGGCTTTGTTAGTGCCTGGGAATTTGGGAGGGGGGATTTCTTAGTGAGTAGGAAAGTAGACTCAACAACATTCTCTCTTAAAAGTCAAGGACAAGTTACCCTGCACCTGGAGAGGAGTGTCTGGAGGAATGTCTCCAGTTGGGACGTTTGATTGGGCCATGTGATGGACTGGTAGGTGCAGGGGATGGATCTTTGAATTTCTCTTGGGGAAGGAAAATCCCAGAACTCTCAGATTCGGGTTTTCCCAGATATGCCAATATGATTTCTCTAATAAATTCTTACTTGGATGGATTTTGTTTCTGAGTGCGGAATGGTTATGGGGGAGTTTTATTGGAACGCTGACATCTGGCTTGGAATTGAATGCTGATATTATAGAACAAGAGTGCAGGAAATAGGAAATAATAGGCAATAATTTATGCCCATTCAACTATTATGTAGCTATTATGAGTATTAATCTTTGAGTTCATCTATTTTTCTAACCAGAAACTCATTGATCCAAAGTATTCATAACACTCCTGACATATAAATAGGGCCTCGGGGCTCATATTTTTCCCAGACTGAACCTATCAGTAGTAGGAAAGTAGAATGTATAGAAGATCATATAAAACAATGTCAGACAGAATTTATCAGCTTCATTATGTCCCATTCTCTACTTTTTGTTTAACATTTTAAGAATTGGGAGTTGAGAAACTGTATTTTGCACTTAAAGGATAGTGATATCCAAAGTTCAACTGCAAAAAAATATTTTTTTTAAATACAATTTGCCAATCTTGGATTACCTGTATAAAATTGCACAATCAAAACTGACAGCGGAAGCTAACTTTTTCTTTTATATAAAAACATTTCCTTTTTAGCTAATCCTAAAGTATCACTTGCAACCTTTTCATTACACTGGTACCATTGTGCAACAGATGGAACAGATTCAAGAAAAATGAATGAACAATAGGTGACATTTCCTAAGATTTCCAAATCTCATGAAATTTCAGCAATAATTCTATTCAAACTCTAAGAGTTAGGGAAAATTCAATAATCTTAATAGTCTGGACCAGGCGTTGGTATAGGTAGCATAGGTCCACTAAAATAAATAAATAAACTTACAGGTTGTCCTTGACTTACAGCCACAATTGGGGTTAAAATTTCAGTCTCTAAATGAAATGGTTGTTCAGTGAATCATCAGGCCTGATTCCGTGACCATATTACCACAGTCATTACATAAATAATAGCAATAGCAGTTAGACTATATACCATTTCACAGTGCTTTATAGCCTCTCTAAGCAGTTTGCAGAATCGCCTATTGCCCTCAACAATCTGGGTCCTCATTTTACCGACCTGGGAAGGATGGAAGGCTGAGTTAACCTTGAGCCAGTGAGACTCGAACTGCTGAACTGCTGGCAGCTGGCAGTCAGCAGAAGCAGCCTGTACTACTGCATACATGACTCAGGTGGATGTTAAGCAAATCTGGCTTCCCCAATTGACTTTGCTTGTCAGCTGGGAAGATCACAAATCACAGTCCCGTGACTGCAAGATACTGTGTCCATTTGTAAATAAATGCAAACCTGTGGCTAACCACCCAAATGGCAATTACATAGGTGCTATGATGATTGTAAAGGTGAAAGATTGAGGGCAAAAGGAGAAGGGGACGATAGAGAATGAGGTGGCTGGATGGAATCATTGAAGCAGTAGGCGTGAGCTTCAATGGACTCCAGAAGATGGTAGAGGACAGGAAGGCCTGGAGGAACGTTGTCCATGGGGTCGCGATGGGTGGACACACAACTTCGCAACTAACAACAACAACAACAAATGATGGTTGTAACTTCAAGGACAGGTAATATGTCACTTTTTCTAAGGCTGTTAAAACTTCGATCTGTTGGTAAATAATGGTTGTAAGTCAAAGACTACCTGTAGTTAGGAGCAGCTTACTTGACCCACTGATTTAATTTAATTTCTAACCAATCAAATATAATCTGAATGTTCAACCAATCTTCCTTCCTTTCTTTTCCTTCCTTCTTTTTCTTCCTTCTTTATTTCTTTTCCTTCCTTCCTTTCCTTCCTTACTGTTTCTTTGCCTTCCTTCCTTCTTTTTCTTTCTTTTCCTTCTTTCTTTTCCTTCCTCCCTCCCTCCCTCTGATAAATCTTTCAGTTAAATTAAGTGCAGACAAATTAATTACATATAACAGGGGGAAAAAAGCAAGAAGCACACTTACAGAAGTTAATGATATATTATTAGTGGTTGTTTTATGGACTCAATAAAAGAGCCTTACTCCAGAGAAAGTTTTTTTTAAAAACAACAACAACGGTCGAAGAACACAGAAAGACAGGGTCTCAGTTTGGGGAAGGTAAGAACCCAACCCTTTTTTTAGCTACAACTTCTGTTTAAAAAGGATCGGTACCTTTTCCTGGTCAAAGCTGGTGTGCCCCAAGGAGAGGGGAGAGAAGACTCATTGGTCAGGCAAGGAGGAATCTGCTCAGCACGACTACAGACAAAACAGACACAGAGGGGACAGAGAGAAGTTAGAAGAGAGAACAGGATGCTGGAAGCTTTGTTAGTTTTACAGTTTCACCACGAGAAATGGATTTTTCAGGAGGAACTCGAAAAGATGACAAAACATTCAAACAAACGAAAACAGAAACATAGGAAGCTTTCAAAGACATATATAGACTAAGCAAAATTCAAGTTTAACCATGGTTCGTGCATTAAGGCGGAAGTGCTAGACTGAACTGTTAACCATGGCTTCTTCCCGTCGTGACAATGTGGATCGTTTAGGATTTGGGAAAAAGATAATAAGAGGATCACATTTTAGAACACGTAATGTAAGCAGACACTATTAATTTCATCATTAGGACTAATACAGCACTCTATAATACAGTAGGGAGTTTTCAAAAAAAGTTGCTCAAGTAGGAAGAGGAAACAATAAGAGGAAAGGAAAAAGAGAGAGAAATACTTATGCAACGATTTCAGTCCAGATTTCTTAAATTTCAGCATCAGAGAATACCAACTATTGAGAAATCTGAAAATGCTTTAAATATATAGTGTATGACATTTAAAAAAAATAAACTAACATCAGTGAAAGATAACTTATTTATACATATGCTTACAATTAAAGGAATACTTAAATGTTGTTATGACTAGACATTAAATATTCAGTGCCTTTATCCCTACGTCTGAGTCTTTGTGTTAATATCACAATATATGCTGCACAAATAGCATCAAGATTCAAAATCCTACTAATACAGCTCAGTTTTTTTCCATCAAGAGGAAAGCAATGAAAAAAGTGTAGGCAACAGTCTACACTACAGTACAATAACGTATATTTTAATGTATCAATTTCTATTGTACGGAATACCAGTATTTCCAGAAATCAAATACTTCAAATGCAAAAAATAAGACATGTTCCAACAAGCATTATTTTAATTCCAAAAACCTTCATAACTCATATATTATTTAAAGTGCGAATTTGGCCCTGCTTTTAAATGTTGATGTGTGATTTTAAAAAACAGAATAAAACAAACCCTCTTTTAAACCAAGGTTTAAAAGCTTTGAAAGTTGGTTTGTTTGCTTGTTTTATTCCAAATAAAGAATAAACAAAGTTTTAAAAGAGGGTACGTTTTTGGGATGAATCCAAAGTTATGAATAAATGATGTTTCTATAGGTGATGATGGCACATCTAAACTTTCAAACACAAAGGTATTATTTCAGCAAAACTATTTGCTGCTCCACAACTATTATTCTACAAAAGCCCCTATCCTTCTTTGCCAACATTCAGATAACACAGGCAATCATTACTACAAAAAAACCCAGATTCTTTCTCCAATACAATTCCCTGCTGTAAATTGTGCATGCAATGTAGTTATAAAATGAAATTACAGACACATAAATCATTGGCAGTAAAGAGCTGGGACATAAAGAAAAGGGTTGGCCTTCATCCATCTTAAAGAGCGAGCCCTGCACTAAGTTAGCCTTCTCCAGACTAATATTGCATACATGACACGGATTTCAATCTTCCAAAACACAGGACAACCAATAGAAGAAAATATTTGTGGCTCAGGGTTGAACTGGTGCTTTCTGAGCAAGGTTGTTTTCTTGCAGACAACATACCTGTCGAAAGAATCTGTGGTGACTTTGTAGAGGTAAATAAAGAGCTTGCTGCAGTGCTTTAGAGTGGGCGAGACGGTATCCATGGAGAGCAGGTCATCTTCCAATAGTTTTTGAAATGGCTGGGTATTGGAAGGGAAGACATTCACGGGACTTAGTTTTCTGGAGTCTGAGAAGCAGCCAAGCAACCTTACTGCATCCGCCAGCTTTTCATACTGGATCTCCGTTCTGAAGAAGTGCGAGTTGGCTGGCTCATAACGCATGGCCGCCGTCAAGGTACACAGCACCGTGTGGAGAAGTTCGAAGACTTGATTCTGGTTCACTTTCTCCCAGCCGTTTTTGGGGGAAGAGCATAAGGACCGCTCCATGGCAACCAACAACGAGGTAATATATACAAATCCACCAACTTTCCGGAAAACTGTTCTCGTCCGATGGCTCTCCTTTAATACCGAAAGCAAGGCCTACGTGGATGTTTAAAATATGGCAGTATGAATAAGACAGCACAGGGATTCTTCGGCATTTGTTAGATGCATCTCAGCACTGACAGATTAAAAGCAATAGCACTTTGACTTATCTACCACTACGTAGTGCTTTACTATGGCACTTTCTGACCACAAAAGCATATTGTTCCCGACAACCTGGGTTCTCCCAAAGGTGCTTTTTGTCAAGAGGCAACTGGTTTTTCTCATCCTAGAAGCTTTTCCAGCTCTGAAGCTGAAGAAGCTTCTTGGATGAGAAGCGAAACGTCTTCAAAGAAAAACCAGAAAGTCCAATTGCCTCTTGAAAAAAAAAAAGCACCTTTGGGACAACCAAGACCTGGAGGACTGAGAATCTCTACAGACATTTAGCTAAATCAGGCTCCTCATTTTACCAACCTTGGAAAAATGGTCAAAGTCATCCAAGGAACTGAACAACCAAGTTGTTTCCAATTTACAAAAGCCAATCCTGGCCAATACTGTCCCTTAATCATTTCTACACTGTGTTAAAATATATATTCTAATTAGGAATAACAAAGTATCAGAGTTGGAAGGGATCTTGGAGGTCTTCTAATCCACCCCCTGTTCAGGCAGGAAACACTATAGCATTTCAGACAAATGGTTGTCCAATCTCTTCTTAAAAACTTCCAGTGTTGGAGCATTTACAACTTCTGGAGGCAAGTGGTTCCACTGATTCATTGTTCTGTCAGGAAATTTCTCCTTAGTTCTAAGTTGCTTCTGTCCTTGATTAGTTTCCACCCATTGCTTCTTGTCCTGCCCTCAGGTGCTTTCGAGAATAGCCTGACTCCTTCTTCTTTGTGGCAGCCCCTGAGATATTTGAACACTGCTATCATGTCACCCCTAGTCCTTCTTTTCATTAAACTAGACATACCCAATTCTTGCAACTATTCTTTTTAAGTCACTTGAATAATGAAATAACTCTTCTGTGCTAGTTCTAGGACATTCATTAAATTCAACTCAACTATCTTTCTCAGATTTATTGTGCAAACTTGGTCTTGTGTACTTCACGAATGTCTAAACATTTTATTTCTTCAGTTTACATTTGTTATTTGGGTCATTAAATGAAAACTTTCAGAGCACGCACATATTTTGATATAACAATATTAAACCTTGCAACTAATTTTCAGAACAATTATATCTGATTATTGGGATGGAAAGATTCATTTTATGAAATAGTGGAAAAAAAATAAGAATTGCGTACGTACTCTTAATATATCAGTCTTCAGCTGCAATTCTGTGGGGGGAGCGGAGTGCATCAAACCTAAGAGAGTCCCCATGTCATCATCACCACTTGGTGACAACACCAGCTGCTGGATTATCATCAGTGCTTGCTGCCTACACTGTGGATATTTTACGATGTTATGTACACACCTTGCTCCACCAAACTCCCTGAAGATGCCTACAATGTAAACAAGTGAAAAGGAATAGTTGCAATAATACCACTAGAAATTCAAAGACTGGACTTATTAACTGCCATAATGATCTATCATCATCATCATCATTTAACGACCCCTTGTGGGGTCGAGTCTGGCCAACTGAATGGAGCTAGCAGAGCGTTTAATGGCCGGATGCCCTTCCTGTTGCCAATGTGGAGTTTTCTTCAGCAGATATATTCTCATTGTGCCCAGAAAGAGAAATATCTGCCTCTACATAGGATCGAACTCACAGCCTGATTGTGAGGCGAGAGCTCCACCTCTAGGCCACTGCACCACGCTGCATAACGATCTATAATGGCTGCCAACTCAAAAATGCCAGTAAGCATTCTAAATCAGGAACAGCAGCTTTGCCAAAGGTTATAAAAATTCAAAGAGACTGCAATTGTGGCAAAAACTACGTATTTTTTTAATCAGTTATTTTCCACTTATGGGTCTATAGGAAAAACAAATCTTGTCCAATGAATCTTATCTCATTTTTCTGATTGGGTAACTTTAACAGATTGTGGGGATGTTGCACAGATAATATATCTTGACTTTAAGAAAGTATTTGATTAAATTCACCATGACATTCAATTATTAAATTAGCTAAGTTTGGTCTGGTCGGCATGATAAGATAACACTCAAAAACCAAAGTCAAATAATGTTGATCAATAATGTCTAATCAAACTGGAATGAGATACAGATTTGGTGTGGGGAAATGACACACAATCGATCTTAGGCCTTCTATTCTTTCTTATTTTTATTAATATTTGAAGAAAGAGATGGAGAGAATGCACATTAAATCTACACAATAGAAAATTGGGTAGAATAGCTAATCCTCTAGAAGACAAAAATAGTTTTAACTGAAAACAACAGAAAGACATATGAAACAATTGTAAATTCTTCACATGGGCAAGCAAAGTAATAAAATAGGCTACACATAGCTTCTAATAATACCTATGGTGAAAATCTTGGAATAGAAATATGGGTCAGAAATATAATGTGGTTCCAAAAAAGGGCAAATGTAATTTAGTTTGAATCAACAGAAATAATGGTTTTTAAATCACAGGAAGCATTTATTCAAATTTATTCTGCATTGGTAAGACTCCCATCCTGAGTACTATATACAGCTCTGGACAATTTACTTTAAGAAGCATCCCAAGAATCCGAAGCATCTTCAGGAATGATCAGGGAACTAGAAGCTATCCTGTGAAGAGAGTTTTAAGGATTTGGGCATGGCTTTAGAAAAGATTAGAGGGAGAATATTGTGCCATTCTTCAAATATTTGAAAGGATATAATGTAGAAAAAGGTTCATGGTCCTTCTTCTCTTGCACCACAATACAGGAAGGTAGGTTTAGGCTGAATGGTCGGTATGACAAGATATATCAAGCTCATCAGGAAAAATGTCCTAACAGGAGGATTGAAAAACTAGGAACTATATAGAGAAATGGTGAAGGTGTTCAAGAGGAAATTAAGACAATCATGTTTTGATTTGGATTTCTGGACTGAGTGGAATGATCTAAATGGCCTTTCCAATTCTATATCATACAATTCATGGTCCTTTGTATACAATAAATATCTAAATATTTATTTCAAAAGCTAAAGCTTTTTTTCAAGTAAAGCTATGTCTGGGGCTCGGGTTATGTGAAGGATTCTGTTTCTTGGTTTTACTATTAATTGATTAATCATCATGACTGCTGTTTATATTTATTTATTTTGTGGGTGTTTTTATTGTTTTAATGTCCTTTAAACTATTTTAGAATTTTATCATCATTATACAAGGTACTTTTAACCAGATACATAAAATTTCATTTATCTCAAAAGCCTTATAAATGATAGGGAAAGGATTACAAATTGCTTTCCATTTTACTTTTTAAATAGTGAATGCATTTTCAAATACTTTAATATAACCTTGTTAACAATGATCTACTTTTTGCAATAATGGCAATTGCTAAGGGAAATGACCAACTGACCTTGACCAAATCTAGTTACTATTTATTTTATTTCAATCATGGACTAGCATAAAGTTAATATAGTATTAGTTTTATGCTAGTCTATGTCCTAAATAAAAACAAATACTAAAAATGCCGAATGAAATAAGTCTTCTGCTACTAATACTCTTTTTTTCCTTCAAACAATTGATTTCACGTCTCAAAAAACCCACATAAACATGCAGTCCAGGATAGAGTTAAATACATTTTGAGAACAAACATCATCACCTAAGGGTTATTGCTCATTTCTTTCAACCAGTCATTTGTCAAATACCTGCATTTGTGTTTGATCCTTGGAGTAATACTGTCAAGGTCTCCATAACCAGCAAAGCAAGTTGTTTTTGGTCTTCAATTGAACTGTTATTTTTTGAGTCACCTACAAAAACAATTTTAAGAAGCTACTTTATTATGCTCATTAATTCTGAACGTCACTGCTACTTAATATATGATACCCTATGTAAAATTGCTACGAAAATGAGCATTGGTGCAGCACTCAGCTTTTGAGCACTGACTTATTGCAGCTTCGCATCATTGTATAAAACATCTATTGGACAAGGGTACACAATTTATAGGTGTGGCCACAATGCATCAAATACTGTATTTCACATATAAGCATTGGACAGTAGACAGGAAGGTTCAAAATTTTCTTTTGGGGGAAGTTTTACTCTTGGAACGAATGTCAAAATAACCATACAGAGCACGGGTGTCAAACTTGCAGTGTCACGTTGCCATCACGTGACGTATTGCAACATTTTTCCCCTTCGTGGAGCTGGGGTGGGCTACAGGCTGCCAGTTTGACACACCTGATATACAGTGGAGCCTCAGGGCGCAACCATAATCCGTTTCCAGACTCTGATCGCGACCCAATTTGGTCGTGTCCGGGAACATGACTGACTGTGCATGAGTGCAGTCAGAAAAATTGGTGCCAAAGGGAAAATTGGCGCGGAAAGGGAATCTTTCTGCAACCATTTTATTCACTCCCTGATTTTTGCATTGTGACCTGATTCAAAAATCGGGTGGGTTTTTTGTTCGTCACCCGATTTCATGACCCAAGGTTCCACTGTATTTATAGTTTGCATCTCCAGTAATACCAAAAATAAAAATAAAAAAATAGAAAGTGAGGTGTTTTTTTAAAAAAAAAATCCAACTGAAAGTAGATTTTAAAGAAAGGGGGAAAAGTGGGGATGGGATCTACCTTGATCATTCAGGGCCTGTGTAGGATCTTTCAAAAGAGCAGCATACTTGTGCAAGAGATTCACCATCACTTCCAGAAGTCCCACCTCCCTGAAAACGTCCTTAAAAATGTAGTCATGCCGCGTGAACTTAAGCAGAGTCCTTGTGGCAATAATGCTACAGGAATAGGAGGTGCTGGATTTTAAGAGGATGCTGACGCTGATCAGTTCTTTGCATGGTATGTAATTCAAGCTGAAGATGACAAATTCAAGCATCTCAAAGTATTTTGTCTGTACTTCCGGAAGCTTTGAAATTTTCTCCGCAAACTGAGACAAAGTATGTTGGGATTCCAGGATGAAATAGTTGGCGTTATCTGCAATGTATATATTCAAAATGGCATCAAGGATAATTTGTGCAAGGTAGCTGGTTTTTGCTTTAAGAAAGGCATTCTGTAGGACTGAGAAGGCCTGGATATTCCTCACGTTGTGACCTACAAGAGAGAAAGAGAGAGAGAAAGTAAATATATATACATATATTCCTCACATTGTGACCTACGAGAAAGTGTGTGTGTGTGTATGTGTGTGTGTACACACACAATTAGCCTTCTCCATCGCAGGCAGGACAGGAATCTGAAATGGATGCGAAGGAGGTTTGCTGAGAGTAGCCAGCATGGAGTGAATGCAAAGGAGATGGGGGAGGCTTATCCCAGCAACTTGTGACATTCCCTGCCAGCTTCCCCAATGACTTTCTGGGGAAGCCAGCAGGAAAGGTTGCAAAGGCTGATCATGTGATTGTAGGGTGCTAGGCAACCAGTGGGAAGTGCAGATGAGTTGCCAAGCGCTCAGATTGCGATTAACCATGAGGGATACCGGGGATGGCTGGAACTCCCAGGAGGCCGTCATAATCACCATTTGTTTGGCGCTGTTGTAACTTTAATTGGTTGCTGGACAAATGGTCCAAGATCAAGGATTACTTGTATACATCAAATATATTTTAATTTAAATACCATTTAAATAATTTAAAGCTCTAAAAGCAATCATTCAAAATGATTTTATAAGTAATTGATTGGTCTATGAAGCAAAGGAGCATATTCTAAGGAATATTTTCATGGATAAAAAATAAAATTATTCTGGGGTCTATTTAAGCACATGATTAAGAATCTTAGAACAGAGGGATTTTTTTTAATAGAATTACTATAAAAACCCAGGACAATATACTGTCAATATTATTATGCGTGTATAAGGTGGACAAGAATAGCAGTACCTTTGCCTGCAGGTTGTGGAACTGCAAATCCAGGCAGTAAGAAAGGTGCCCCCGTAGTAACGCCAGCTGGTTTTAATTCATTCACACCATATGTTGTTAATGAGGTTATCAGGTTAACTAAATCCTTCAAAGCATCCTTGGATTCTGCCTCTTTTGCTTGTTCTAACCTTCAGGAAAAACACATACATTTACTGAACAAAAAACAATGGATTTCTCTGGATTGAAATCTGGAATGTTGTAATAAATTATTTAATAAAACCAGTTGATTTCAAACACAATTTTATTTAGCATCGTTCCAAAGTTAAAAGTTCAGGACTCAATATAACAGGAATCTTTTAGAAACCTTAAGGCAATTTTAAGCAGATCCACACCAAAGATCTGTCTCAGAAGCTATAGTTAGGTCTTACATGCCCTCCTAAATGAAATTTTCTAAACAAAATGTTAATTGAACGAACATGGGAGGAAAAGAGGTAATATGGACTACATATTCCATAATACCATTTACCTTTAAGTAATTTCTCTTTCTATCCCTCTGTGCTCTTTTCAATTAAACGTAACTTCCTATTCAAAACACTTCACATTTAATGCATGCAGCAAACATCCATATTTATTTCACAAGCATCTGCAATGAAAACTGCCCCTGTATCATCATCAGAGGGAATCATATTAAGGGAAACCTCTTTGGACAAACAGGGGGATTGATTCACAAGAATATACAAATTAACTTCATTGGGTTTTTCATTAATGTATTGTGTCAGTATGGAGGAGTTACTATTGACACCATAAAATTATCTCATCTTGTTAGATGGCAGTGTTGTAATACAAGGAAGGAGCTACTTCTCATTTTAAAAAATCCCCACAAATTGCTTGGGGGAATATATAGATAGACTAGCCCTATACTTGTGCTTCGCTACGAAAATTATGTGATTGGGCTTAGTTTTTGGGGAGGAAAATAAGGGGGTGGTGGAATTGTGCCTCTGCATCCATCAGTATTATTCTGGCTAGCATCCTGTCAGTGTGTGAGAGAGTTGAGGGCTGTTTGGAAACTGAAACATGGAAATTGAAACAGTATTTGCTGTGTGAGCAAGGAGACAGCAAGGAGTGGCTTAGCTCAACTGTTCTCTACTAAAGCTGGTTGGCTGTTGTGATACCAAAACTGAAATTGAAACTCCTCTCCTCTGCTTGTGTTTTGCATATGGAAGAGATTTCTTTTCAGGTGGGGAGGTGAAGTAGAACTCCTTAGCATCAAAGCATGTTAATAATAATATAGGAAATACTAATGCTCTGGTGGTCATTTCGAAAAATCCTTTCTTAGTGAGCATCTAGAAGCCAAGAGGAACATATGTGCCAAATTTCAAGTTTGTAGGCTTTACGGTTCTGGAGATTTTGTGATGATGCGTGACTGGTATTTCGCTTTTATATATATAGAAGATAAGTTAAATAGGAAAAAAGAGGAATTCAGATATGACACAGGCTGTTATGAAGCTGGCATTTTAGGGATCTTCACAGACTAGTTAAAACTGTTGTAGCAACAAATCCCCAATGCCTTTTTTGATTTTGAAGAGAATGTCCAAATATCCATTAACTTAGAAAGGCAGGACAAAAATGCCCAAATTCTGAATCACCGGTATACATTATACAAAGGTTTGGTGTATACTGCAGTAATAAGTAAATTGGTTGTAGTCGGTTTCCTTCTTGACTGCAATACAGTATCTACAGTGACTGAGTCATGATTGAGTGTCTACTGCTGAATAAGCCAAATTCTAGAAAAAGGGGTTGAGAATCTAGAGAGCTTAGATTTACAGCCACGCCAGTCTAAGACTACCGTAAACTAGTGAGCGAGCTTTGGCAATGCTCCCATTCTGCCTGCACAAACACACAATAAGCAGTTGTGGTCCTCCTCCTTCTCTGAATTTAAAATTAAAATTATTAATATTTAGCATTATATATTTTTCTTCAGCCATAATCATACTGAAACAATTTGGTTTATTTATTATTGGGAAGTGGTTGCACAAATTACTTGATCATGTTAGGGCCATACCATACTGCAGAATTTGATAAGGTAAATACTTCAAAACAAAAAGTAAAGCATGATATCAGCAGATGGATTGTGGTATTCTCAAATAAATCAAATAAATACATACTGATTACTGTGCTTACCAAAGAAAGGAACTGAAATTGGTTCGCCGCTCAAAAAAAAATCTAGATTAGTTTATGAATTATTATCAATGCTTTATTTCAGATTAGATTTACAAATTAGGCTTTCTAAATTCCAAACCACTTGAAGGACAATTAAATTTGATTAGAAGGTCCAAGACAATGTGCGCTAATCCTTTCATAAATTTCCCCACTTCATCCTTGCTTATATCTCTGAAAACGTTTCTTCATGAAACGCCTAAGAATAACCCATCTTTTCTACTAATGTCAAAAATAAAGACACAAATTAAATTTTGCAAAATAAGTTAGAAAAGGTTTGGGATAAAGAAAAAGCCTGATCTCTTTCTCATAAGAAAAGAGATAAGTAAATGACAATTAATTTTATTTGTTAATGTGTTTGAAAGATTAATGTAAACATCCCTTTTTCAAAAGAAAACACTGCATTATCAGGGATCACGTTATCAATCCAAGTCTTAGATCTGTTAGTAAGATACTATTCCCAGTATTATTTATAAGAAAGAAGCAATGAAAGTAGAGTCCCAAAAGTGCTTTTTCAAGAGGCAGCTGGACTTGGATGAGAAGCGAAACATCTTCAAAGAAAAACCAGAAAGTCCAGTTGCCTCTTGAAAAAGTATATTTGAGACAACCATGACCTGGATGACTGAGAATCTCCATAGACAATAAAAGTGGAGGTTTGTACTCCGAGCTTGTGGTTGGTTTCCAAACATTTCATTACCTGGCTAGATAACATCTTCAGGAGACTTTAGGGAATGTCAGCATTGGTGTTCTTCTGAAGAACATCAACACTGACATCTCCTAAACTCCACTAAAGATGTTACTAGCCTGGTAATGAAATGTTTGGAAACCAACACACAAGCTCGAAGAACAAACCTCCATTTTCATCCTACACCCGAGCTACAGATATTCACCACTGTTGCAAAGAAGCAATGTTAAAATAAAAAAAAAGTTATCATCAAAAAAAAATTGATGATAGAACATTATATTAGATATTTCTTATTGAATTAGTACTAGAAGCTAAAACAGTCTCTGTGGGATAGTACTATTTTAATATAGCCTAATAAGGTGGTTAAACTTTTCACCTGCACATTCACAATAATATTTTATTTACAATATTTATACGTTGGTAAGGTGCCTCATTTAAGCAAGAAGACATACTTACAAACATGATCTGCATACCTGAGTAAAAGATCAAAAAGAAAATTATATCCTTGCCATATCCTAAAATCATCTAGCAGCGTTTGAGACACATCACTGGAGTCTTTGAGGAAACAGGATAGCCCAGCAAACATTTCCACTATTTCTAAGGGAGAAAGATCATCGGATTGCTGCATGTTCTGAACACACGTTGAGAGGCATTCCTTTTCTGAAAACATATTAAAGAAAAAAAAAAGTTTTCAAATGATGAATATTGGAAATGCTGAAGGATTCACCATGAGGTAATTTTAACGATTGAAGCAGATTTCAAGTTAAGTGAAGTACAAATAAATATAATCTGTTAAGAATACTTCCTGTATATAAAGAAACACAGATGCTACATCATTCACATAATTTCCTCATTTTAGAATGCTAGAAAAGAAGCAGGGCATAATTCTCCCATATCTGGACTGCAAAAATTAATGTGACCAACAGATGGCAGGAAAAAAAAAGCAACTCACTGCTGCCATCCAGTGGATATCTAAATATTTGCAGCATAATTTTGTTACAAACCAGGGACATCTGTACAGGTTCAAATATGAATTTGAAAACTTTATTCTTTACTAAAGGCAATTGTTCAACCATCTCCTTCATTTTCACAATCTTTTTAGTAGCTGATTGGAGTGTTGATGGCTATCAATTCAGTTGCTGACAGGGTGGATAAAAATCAATGGGTTTTTTTTACAAAATCAAAAGCATCAGATTTTTAAAATTTTAAATTGGATTTTTTGATTTTTATCAAGTTTATTTTAATAAAATGCTTTTGGAATAAAATCAATCTAAAGATAGTTTTCTATTTAAGGTACATTAATAATTTAGTTTATTCATCATGAAATGGAGCTTAGTTATGTAGCATGAGGTTGTATATTCTGCAATATTTACATTTTTGGTAAACTCATTCAATGAATCCAAGTTCTGCAAGCTGAGATAACATGCATTGCATTGATGGATTCACACAATTTCACAGCAGAGATGACAGTTGATCTTTAAAAATAAGATTTAAATCGAGTTGATTTAAATCAAGCCTTTTTACTAGTGATTTAAATCATGGTTTAAATCTTGATTTAAATCAAATCCACCCTGGTTGTTGACTGTTGTTTCCTTGTGCAGTTAAGAAGCCCTCACCTCCTAAGTATTTGATAAACTGTTAGTAAATCAGCATTCCTATTAACTGGTTGTTTTTGGTATTTTGAAGTTTCTGAACAATTCTCTCCGCATTTATAGTAAAAGTTTTTGAACTGCCTGCAAGCAATTGAACTGAACTGCAGTTACAGAACTGAACTGATGTGAACTGCAGTTGCAAAGAAAACCACACGTCCTTCGTTGTGATCTTAATGCCATACAAGTATAAGTAAGAATCTGACTTACAGACCGGCCTAATCATAACATTATCCAATCAAATATAACACTGGCATCCAAGTACAGTATCAAAAATTAATGGTGGAGACTAGCTCAACAAATGACAAAGTGAAAGGACAGCAAAATGACTTAAAAGCCAGCCATCAACACACCCCAATCAATTAAAAAAAAAAACCGCACACAACAAGCACTATAAATACCACACACAGAACAGCACACACTCTGCTAGAGAGAAGTTCCCTGTCCTGGGTTCCAGGACGAGTCCGAAATTTTGGAAGACAAAAACCTCTGGTTCCGGTAACCAGCCCAGATAGTATCCTGCAAAGGAACACCCCATGAAAAGATGCAACTTATGTTGGCTCAGCCTGAACTGAAGTGCGCACACACAAAAAGTGTTGGTCGTTTCATTAATTCATCTGAAGTGAATAACCTCTGTGATTCATATGGAGGCAAATTCTCCGCTGCAAAGCTGGAAAACATTTCCTTCAAAGATTGTAACCTTCCAACAGTTGCTTCGTTTTCAGAAAGAAGTGTGCTCTGCTCCCACAAAAATGCTTTCAAACACCTAGAGAGCACAGAGCAGTGTCCCTAAACGATTCACTGAAGCAGGGACGAATGTGGGCAAAATCGTTTCCTCGTTAAAGTAAAAAATTAAAAATGGCTCTCAGGGGAAATGGATCTGACTGAAAATCATCACCCTATCTCTGAGGGGAACCGTAAATGGTGGGGTTTGCCAGCATAATTGAGCTAGGGGCAACAGCCAAATTTCATGGTCAACAGGCACAGGTCCAATTTTGCTAAGGCTCGATGGATTTGTTCATTAATGCTGACAAATCTTCAGGAAGGAACAATCGGTGGTTGGAGGGGAAATAGATTACTGAGAGCTTTCTGAAATTGCCTTGTGAGATGGTGAGGGGAAACAAGCGCCTATCTGGAAATGAAAAGGGGAAAAAAATCCAGCCCAAAATAGTAGTAAGACAGATTTTCAGAAAGGGGAAATGCTAAACCTTTGGAATGGAACAACAACACAAACTCAAACTGTAGGCACTCACATAGGAAATAGTGAAGTATATTCTCTGGGAGCAAAACATCATAATAAAAGTAGCCATCTCACTTTAATGCATTTCCCTTTCTGTGGCTTCTTGGGAGCTCTGGAGACTTATGCTAAATTACCTGTCATCAGCTCAAGAGATTGAAGGTCCAGATGGTAGATGGACTATCAGGAGGGTCATTTTTTTTTTATCAGGAGGTGATAATAGCATCATTGGTACAAAATATAAAGTGAAAAAAAAATTATGGCTGGTATGGCCACCATTAAACAATTAAGATGACTGATGATCCATCCCAATGCATCTTTGGGGATAGGCAACAGACATATGGGGAGCCATAGAAGAAAGATATATCCTTCAGAAAGCACATTCCAGGATCTGCCCTGGTCCAAAACCTGTAGCATAATATACTCCTGAGTGTTGAAAAGAGTGTGATTACCACATCACCTAAAAATCATCAGGCTGCAGGAGAACCATTTCTAAAGTATGGATCCATTACGGTACTTAGGAACTAAGAGCCTGGAGGAAATGGCAGCACTTGTAATTGACATGCTCCATCAGCTGGACCTCAGAACAGAAAACCATGCTCATGGTGTCCACGTATTCCACTGAGTGGGAAGATTAGGGAAGTGGGTCTACTATGTATGGGCTGCTTACAGAGCTACTGTAGTCACTGCCATATACTCTGTAGGCCTAGCACAGGGGTGTCAAACTCAAGGCCTGTAGGCCGGATCCGGTCCACAAGGTGCTTAGATGTGGCCCGCGGGACCATCCTGGAAACAGCGAAGGATTGGCCCACGGTGCTTCTGCCAGCAAAAATGGAGCTCACGGCCCTCCCGAGCTCCGTTTTCACTGGCGGAGGGTTGCGGGAGGCCATTGCAGCCAAAAATGGAGCTCAGGAGCCCATTTTCACTGGCAGAGTGCTTGAGCCACTACAGGCATCCCCGACAAGAGTGACGTCGAGTTGGCCATGCCCACCCAGCCCACCAAGGTCAAACACAACCTGATGCGGCCCTCAATAAAATTGAGTTTGGCACCCCTGGCCTAGCATAATGAGTGGAATCCATCTTCTGAGAGATTTTCTTGTACTATCTGTGATTGTGCTATATGTAACCATTTTGAAACAGATGACAGACCCTGGGAGGGCTCCAGAGGCTCTATGGAAACCAAAATGGGCCCATTTCTGGCCTTCCCGAACTTTCAGGAAGCCCATTTTTTGCCCTCCCGGAGCCTATGTGCACATCCTGCAGTTACCTGAATCCAAAATGGGCCATGTGGGGACTCCTGGGAGGGGAGGGGTGAGAAGAACCAGCCAGGAGTGGGTTTGGGGGTTCTCCGAACTGCACAGAAACGTAGCTAGGGGCTCTCCTGCAAACCCCAAGCAGCCTATCCCTGGTTCAAGTCCCAATTTAGACACAAAGCCAGCTGCGTAGCCTTGAGCCAGTCACCTTCTCACAGCCCTTGGCATAGGGGCAACGGCAAACCACTTTTGAAAAACCTTGACAAGAAAACTGCAGGACTTCTCTGGGAAGTCTCTTGAGAATCGGACCCAATTGGACAGAAGGAGAAGAAAATCATTCCTACGTGTTACCTATTAAATAGAAATATTGTCCTCCTTTGTTCAAAGCAAAGGCAATTCCACCTTTATGTATTCATCCCACCTGATTTCCTTAGCTGTACAAAAGGAACACCAACCGTGAATGTACTTCACTACGTTGACGCTAAGGCCGTGACGTGATATAGTCATCAGGACTTCCCCTGCACTCTTCCTCCAAGGCAGGTTGTAGGGAGGGCACCACGAGGTTATTGCACTGAAAAGAAGCTGGAGGTCATCCTTTTGGGCCAGCTCTTCTGCTGGGGACACAAAACTGCACAGCTTCACTAAGATCTGAAAGAAAAGGCAACAAAACACCCTTGAAAAAGGCTGAATGCCACACAAGTAAAAGAATGACAGAGCTGGAAGGGACCTTGAAGGTCTTCTACTCCAACGCACTGCTCAAGCAGGAGATGCGATACCATTTCAGACAAGTGGCTGTCTAGTCTCTTCTTAGAAGCCTCCAGTGACGGAGCACCCACAGCACCTGAAGGCAAAGCTGTTCCACTGGTTAACTGTCCTGTCAGGAAATTTCTCCTTAGTTCTCGGTTGCTTCTCTCCTTGATTAGTTTCCATCCATTGCTCCTTGTTCTGACCTCAAGTGTTTTTGAAAATAGCTTGACTTCCTCTTCTTTGTGGCAGCCCCTCAGATATTGGAGCACGGTTATCATGTCACCCCTAGTCCTTCTTTTCATTGAAGCAGACATACTCAATTCACTTAACAGGTTTTCTTCACTGATTACTATTTGTAAGTATTTATTACCATTTAAAGAACATTCCATTCCCAACCCATCTTCTGGTTTCTAATTTACCCATTCATTTAAATGGTTTTTTTTAATGTTTTAAAATGCTTATCCTTGTTTTTATGCTGTTGTAAACTACACAGGTTAACCAGATTGTGAGATTTGTCAATTTAATAAATAAATAAACTGCGTACAAAATAGGTAGCTGTGAACAATTCCTTGGAGCAAGTTCATTATTAAACAAAATGATGTAGCCCCCTTTAGCTTATCATAAAACAGCACTCATATGCCACTGTATTTGTGATGACCAGGGGCATGGCACAAAGGCAACACAGTCAGATAAACGATAAGAGTCCCTTTATTATCTCCAACTTTGCTCCCAATGTCCAGGTTACCTTCTGGCTGGAGAAAAACTCTCTCAGGAACAGCCTTTGACTGCAGAAAATTAAGTCCAAAACATGAGCAACACAAACTGTAACTTAAAGTCCAAAGAAGCCAAACTGAAGTAATTAGTTTGGCAGGGCAGGAGCAAGAATTTCAGACTTGAAGGCACGGCAAAACTCACACAGTTGGGAAGACGCCAGGAACACAGATAAGCCACGACAACACAGGATAAAGTCACCTTTGCTCCCAGCAGCCTGCCTTTCTTATCAACTGTCTTCCCAGCTGTGGCTAATGAAGGGAATCAGGGCCCTTTCTTCCCCCATAAGCCATGCAACCCACGTTGCTTTCTTCTCCATTCCTCCTTGTGTGCCCTGGGGTGAAGAGAGGGTGGTCCTGGTTCTTCTTCTGAACTCCCTTTCCCTCACGCCCCTGCTCTGCCCAGCTGGACTTTGCCCTTCCCCAGCCTCCTCCACAGCCAATGGAGCCACACTCCCTATCCCTATCCCTATTGGGCATGACAGTATTCTTAGTGGCATTTCTATTCTCAATAACCAGTTTGCTTGTGTGTGTGTGTGTGTGTGCGCGCGCGCGCATGCACACACACACAACCGTGAAGAACCTTTAAATTCTTAGGCCTTTGAAATTGAAGAAGACATGTACTATCCTTAGAGGTCAGAAAGGAATTTTACACACACACACACACACACACACACACACACACACACACACACACACTTTGACTGTTTACGCGCCATCAAGTCAGTGTCAACTCTTAGTGATCACGCAGATAGTCTCTATGGTTATCTGACCCAAGCTGGTTTTTCATTTTAACACGTACTGCCTGCAGCCCTGAAAATATTCTAAACAGCCGCCATCCTCCAACCCAATTTATTTGTAAAGAAATTTTGTTTCAAATGTATTGTCGCTGCCGTGCACTTTACCTGCACAAATACTTTCTGCAACAGCGCCCTCCGCTCTGCTAGAGGCAATTCATTCTGGGCTCCTCCGGCCACCTCAGGCACATGTGGAAGGTCAAAAAACAGATAGAGACATTTCACAAGTGTGGAAGGCACTGACATAGTTGTCATGCAGTCCACGGTTTTCTGGGGAGAAAACAGCAAAGAACACTTTTAAGTCAACCTCACATGCAATTTATTCTTCATCTGCTCTTTTACATGTTTGCAAACAAAAACATTCTAATTATGTAGAAAGATAAACATTCACAACCTGTGCGTAGGTTAGGTAAACTGCAAGCTTAATTTATCTCAACTATAGGCAATCCTCGACTTATGACCAATTGCTTAAAGTTATGTTGGACCCCTCCTAAAGCTACTTACGACACAATTTTGAAGTTACAATGTCTGCACCCTCCATGGTCGCCTGATCGCATCTGGGGCGCTTGGCAACCAGTTGACCTTTATGGTTATTTGCAGTATCCTGCAGTTGCATAACTGTGATTTTCAATGTTTTTTTGCAAGTGGTTACAACTTGTCCTCTGAGTTCTGGCAGTTCCAGTCCCCCTATGGTCATGTGACCACAATCAGGGCACATTGGTAACCAGTTTGCATTTATGGTAAGTTGCAGCGCCCACAATCCTGCAATTGTCATTTGCAAATTTTCCTCCTGGCTTCTCCAAAAAGACAAGGGGAAGCTGCCAGAAAAGACTGCAAGTTGCTAGGGAAAATCTCACCTACCTGTGCAACCTTTGCCAACTGCTTTGTGCTAGCAATGCACCAGCCGTTCGTGCGCATTCCGCAACCTGTATCTTTTCCCCAACCCTCATATTGCATGTCTCACACACACCTTGCGCCCCCTTCCCAATCCTCACTGCACTTTTCCTGCAACCCCTCTCTTCCTCCCTAATCCAGCAACAGCCATATACTTGCCTGCTGGCTTGGGACTGGCAATTTCCTGATTGCTTCCCCAATGATACTGATTGTGGGAAGCTGTCAGGAAGTTGCCTTGTCTAACAACTGATAAACTCAGTTAATGATGGCAACCAGGACAGAAGGGATTGCCACTGCTAGACAATTCAATTGCACTCTACAACTCCATCACCTAGCGATGGCAATTCTGGTTTCAATTGCTGTTTTAAGTTGAGGATTACCTGCATTATATAAAAAATTAAGTGGTTGTAGTGTATAATTCACCCTTTTTTAACTATGCATTTATTGTATAATGGTTTAATTCACAATTATATTGTAAAAATTACACTTTTCCAGATACTTCATATAAGGTACAGTTATTTGAATCACCCCATCTTCCAATCCCCAAATTTGCATTTATATCTATGTTCATCCAAATGAGGCGGTTCTGGTAACTTTACAATATAAAGGTGAGGCATTCACGAGTGAAGAAATAGGACACTTCAAAGATTTATTGCCAGATATCACTTGCTGTTCATTAAGAACTCACCTGTCCAGATGAAGCTAACAGGTTAATTGTAGTAAGCAACATCCAACCTCTACTGGCTTCTTCGCTCTGATTGATTTCTAGAAACTGGACTATGGCACGACTCGCAGCTTCTAAAACGCAGAGGAGAAAAAGAAGAAAAATCAACACACAATCCATCTAACTCCATTTATTTTAAGGTGTCAAAATTCCTCACATTTGCATACAATGCCCTGATTGCAGTCCTCACTTTGTGACTGCCCTGTTTAGCAATCCAAGCTATAATGGTGCCGAAAAAGTAATTTTATGATCAATCCTCACACTGATGACTGTCACAGTATCTCCACGGTTGCATGATCAAGATTCAGGCACTTCCCAACCACAGAACATTTACAACCATTGCGGTATCCTGCGGTTATGTGATCATCACTTGCACAGTACACAACTAGCATAGGAAAATCAAAACGCCAGCAGTAAAATCCCATGTGATGGTCACATGATCATCATCTTCTTTTAACGACCCCATAATCCCTTGCGGGGTGGAGTCTGGGCAACTGAATGGACCTGAGTGTTTATTGGCTGGATGCCCTTCCTGTCACCAATGCGGAGTTTTGTTCAGCAGATATATTCTCATTGTGGCCAGAGAGAAAAATATTTGTCTCTACCTAGGATCGAACTAAGTGGTCATGTGACGCGTCATTTAATTATTGTGTGGTTTGTGATGGACTTGCTGGTCTCAACTGTGATTGTTAAGGAAGGAATAATAGTACAGGTAGTCCTCGACTTACAACAGTTCATTTAGTGACCATTCAGTTACAATGGCACTGAAAAAAGTGAGTTATGACCGTTTTTCACAGTTACAACCTTTGCAACATCCCCAGTATCGTGCGATCAAAATTCAGATGCTTGCCAGCTGGTTCATGCTTATGACCGTTGCCATGTCCCAAGGTCATGGTATCCACTTTTGCAACCTTCCGACTAGTAAAGTCAACGGAGAAGCCGGATTCACTTTACAACTGTGTGACTAACTTATCGACTGCAGTGATTCACTTAACAACAGTGGCAAGAAAGGTAGCAAAATGGGGCAAAGCTCACTTAACAAAGATCTCACTTAGCAACAGAAATTTTGGGGTCAATTTTCGCCTTGCTCCAGGAATTGGCAGAAATGTGGGAGCGTTTGGGGGAAAGTCGGAGCAATAAAGGGGTGCTTTGAACTATCACCTGACTGTTGCCTTCGTGTCCTGCCTGAAGGGGTGTTCTCCTTTTTCAATGGAAAAAGTATGTGGGTTTATTTGGTCATCTCCACACATTTTTCTTGATAGCAATTTAAAAAAAATAAGCTTGCCAGTCTACACTATATACCTGGACTTTCTCAGTTGTCTCCCATCCAGCTATTAACAAGTTCTCACTGTGCTTAGCTTTTGGTGTATTAAGGGCTATTTAGGCTAGTATCTGCTGTAGTTTACCTACAGAAAATGAGTAATGACGGTAGAAATTCAAGCATTTACCTGTGGACTTATTAGAAGCTCTCCGACGAATTTCAGTTACCATTAATCGTGAAACTTGTGTTGTGAACTGAAGAAGATCTGAAAACTTTTCTATCATTGTACTTGGAGGAGCATTTCCAAATACCTGCAGAGAGGTGAAAAATGACTAAGTAACATGCATAAATCGAAGTTCAAATTAACATGACACAAACAGGAAAATGTACAGTTTAACAACATGGTTTTAGCATTATTATTGCAAAATTTCAATTAATGAGCTGTGGTGGCGCAGTGGTTAGAGTGCAGTATTGCAGGCTGACTCTGCTCACTGCCAGGAGTTCGATCCTGACTGACTCAAGCTTGACTCAGACTTCCACCCTTCCGAGGTCAGTTAAAATGAGGACCCAGATTGTTGGCAATACCCTGACTCTGCAAACTGCTTCGAGAGAGCTGTAAAGCATTATGAAGTGATATATAAATCTCTGCACTATTGCTAAGGAAAGATTCTTTTGCTTATGTTCCAATATAGTCACACATATAATCCTTAAACGTTAATACACAAAATTAGAGCTTTGTTCTGTATTATAGATCATAACCTCTTCTGGTCATTGTGTTCTGGTCACTTTTTATATGTTTTTTTTTGTCCTTTTTAATGTTAAGATCAGACAGTTGTCAGACAGTCGGTGACCTTGAAATTTGAATGAATTATTAAATAAATAATGACGAAATGAAAAATAGCCACATGTATAAAAGCTTTCCTCTAAGCCAGTTCTAAATATTGTTTTGGGTAAAAGGAGAGAAATCTGAGAATCGTAAATAAACAAAGAGAGAAGAGTTTTTTGGCAACGTTTTTGCTATTATTTCTGTGTAACAATTAAGGCTTTCTTGTTCTTGTACTTTTTCCTAAATTCCTCAGCAAAGGTGACCTTAGACATGATTTATATTATTACTCCCAATCCTTAGATCCCCTATTTTTGAGAAAAAGTGTACCACTGATGTTAATTCCATAACGAAGAGCCAAAAGAATTTTCCTCCATGAAGATTAAGATGTCTTCATTTATTTATTTGACTTATATAGCCATGACCTGAAAACCCTGGGCATTTCAACAACAATTAATTGGGGGGGGGGGGGGGGGACCCCTCTACTAATCAAAACTCTTGGCACTCCAGCACAATGATTTCCCATGTATCAACTTTCTACCTTGTTGGGCTCCAACTTTGTTCTACCCTAACCCTTGCAAAAAAGAATGCAGGTAGTGTCATGGCCCCTTCATAGCCCAGGTCTGAAGAGGCAAGAGGATATGGAGCTGGAGCCGACAGAGGGTGTGGGCGCAGTCCCTGTGGCCCCTGAGGAATGACCTGGGAATGAGGCTGAGGCAGTCCCAGGCCCCTCAGGCCTTGGAAGAGTAGGCAGGGAGGAAGAGAGGGTGCAGGCGGACTGAGGAAGCGAGGGAGAGATGGAAAGGGTAGGCAGCACAGCAGAGGAGCACCGGAGCTCCAGAGACGAGCAAATGCTTCTCCCACCCGATCCCTAAGTGTGGAGAATGGAGAGGAGGCAGAGTCAGCGCAGGATGACCCGACTACTCGGGAGGAGGGCGCCCCGTCCCTCCTCATGAGGACCACCTGGAGTGTAGCATTTAAGGAGACGCCGTGGGGAAGAGCTTTTGTTGAGAACAAGTATTATATTTTGTATTTCAGAATCCTTGCTTTTGTTGACTGAGGTTTGATCTTTTGCCTTGATGTCGGTGAACTTCCATTGCCAGGAAGTTGCATGAAACATGTGAAGGTGCGTGGGTTCGAGCCTTGCTCTTGGACTGTAGGTGTGCCCTGTGGGCAGAGACTTTGGGGAATGGACCGGGAATTGCTAGATTGTGGGGATTTGGGGGATAATGGTTGAATAAAAGCTGACATGCTTTCACCTACCACTTGTTGCTTGCACGCCAACCTTGGGACACAACAGGTAGTCCTTGATTTACAATCATTTGTTTAGGGACTGTTCAAAGTTACAAGGCACTGAAAAAAGTGGCTTATGACCATTTTTCATACTTTTCCCCGCTTCTTGACAAAAGAGCAAAAACAAATACGGTGGGGAATATGAAAGGAGACAGCTATTGCCACAGAAAGTTTTCATAAATTTGGGGGAACGTTCTATGTAGGACACAGCACTAAAATCCAGCTTCAACAGAGAGAATGCTTGAAAGGAATCTGAGGCCAATTCTGCCCCAATCTAATACCCCATAACTTAAGTCGAGGCTATATTATCTTCTATGATTTTATCTCCAAAAATGGAGGAGCGTGCATTCTGTACAAATAGAGTGTGGGGGCCAGGCAAAATCCCCACTGATCCCACAAAGAGGAAACAACATCACAACTGTTAGTGGATCTTATGTATTATATTCCACCTATTGGGACTGCAAGCCAGCTTTGTCTTTACTTTGTGGAACAGAACAGAAGATAAAACACTAACCAGGGACAAAAATTATCCAATGCATGAGACGGTAAAATCCACTTATTTGATTTTGGGGAAATTACAGCCTGCATAAGATTAATACAGATATTTGTTCTTGTATAGCCAAGAATTTTTTTAGTTATTTATCAATCAGTGCTTTCATGGAGCTCAGCCATTAATTTTTAAAGAGTATGCTTGGTGCCTTTATATAACCATTAGCAGAAAGCCAAAGGGTGCACCGGAATTGCACATAGTACTTGCTTTTCTAAGCAGAGAGAAATCTGCACTGAATGGGTGGCATGGGTTATGTAACCCAAAATGTAGCATATGCTCCTGATTATTACAATCAGATATCTATTACTCCCATTAAATGAGTTTTGAAGTAAATAAAAAAATAAAACCGAACATTCATTATTTATGCCACCTTGTTTCCACAGAGACGTAAAACCTGATTTAAATCATTTTGCCTCATAACAACTGAACGAAATCAAGGAAATATTTGAGAATAAGATGAGCAAGAAAGATCTCTATAAAGAATTCTATGAATAAACTATGAAAACGCAGTTCATCCCATACCGTGCTTCTTAGAAAATAAGATTGAGTCTTATTTTCTTTGAGACTTGAAAATAAGCACTTAGGCTTATTTTCGAGGCCGTCTTACTTTTCTTGAGGTACAACAGGCCAGACTTGGTGAGCTGGACGCGTTGTGGAAGCACCGTCGCCTCCATTCCGAACCTTCAGTGTTTGGAATGGAGGCTTTTTGGAGAACGGAAGGAAAATGGGGAAGGGGGAATTTTCCTGCCTGCCATCCTCCCCTCAGTCTGTGCCGAGCTTGAGGAATAGATGACAGGCAGGAAAATCCCCCCTCCCCATTTTCTTCCCTTTTGCCAAAAAGCCTCCTGCGAGCCTCCCAAAGAGAGGGAAAAAGCAAAGCAGCTGGCCGCTGAGCTGCTGGCTTCGGGGAAGCGGCCCAACAAGCAGAAGCGCTGCGCCCAGAAAGGGAAGGGAAAAAGCAGTATTTGCGCTGCCCCAAGGGGCCAGCGAGCTGCAGCCGGACAGTTGTCCCCCCTGCACCCGTACCACCACTCGTAAAAACTCTCACTCACTTGAGACTTTCAAGAAGAGATTGGACTGCCATTTGTCAGAAATGGTGTAGGGTCTCCCGCTTGGGCAGGGGGTTGGACTAGATGACCTACAAGGTCCCTTCGAACTCTGATTATCTGTTATCTGTGCTGACCATCCCCATCCCCCCGGGGTTTATTTTCAGGGGAGAGGTAATATTAGCCCCACCAAAAAAAATTGGGGTTAGGCTTATTATTGGGTTGAGTCCTGTTTTTGGAGAAACATGGTATATGCCAGTTTGGTCTAGTAAGGCACCAGTCTAGAAATCAAGAGATTTATAAGTTCTAGTCTTGCCTTAGGCATGAAAACCAGTTGGGTGACCATGAGCCAGTCACTCTCTCTGAACCCAACCCACCTCACAGGGTTATTGAGAGGAAAACAGGAGGTGGAAGGAGCATTAATATTTTTGAGTTATTATAAGGCTAATAAAAGGGGGATAAAAATCTAATAAATAAAATAAATAATGGGCACAATTTGTTGAACGCTTACTAAAAATCAGAAAACAGATGGAGAACTGGTAGAAAAAATAATAAAGGCGGCGTATGGTCTGTGGGAGAAGCACATGCTTTTATATAGCTACTTGATATAGAAGTGAGAGTTTTATGAGAGGGAAAGAAAAAAAACTCTAAATTGAATAGGGTGGCAATGAAGCATACTTGCTAAATGAAGAGGAGGTAAGGTCAAAAACAAACAGGAGCTGAAGGAATATGAATTGAATATAAACAAGTAAACACAGTAAAAGATGTACGTTCCTGTTATTTGGTAATATGAATATGACACTCCAAATTGCGAAACAAATATTTGAAGGAAGAATGCATGTAAGAGAGGGGAAGACTCAGAAATTCACAGAACTGTAAGCTATTTAAAGATCAAACATTGTGTGAATTAACATGAGGATGTAAAAGAAGCAAGAATATTTACCGAGGCAAAATAGGAAGTTATATTTAATTTTGTTACACCGACTATACAATTAGGTAGACTTTGATTATATACTGACAACCCACCATTAATTGTAATATTTTATCTGGACATAATAAAAGCATTCATATTGAAAAGTGTTGGTGTAAACTAGACTTAACCAGATTTCCTTTCTTCTACTATTACCTCCAGTTTATTTGCTTTACCAGTTCTTATTTGCATAATGTTGTTTATTCTAAAAAGAAACAGAATGATGAGCATGTATGTACTCACTTATGCTGAATATTAAAAATGATGAAAAACACTACTTAATAAAGAAGGACAAAGGATCCCTCAAAACACTACTGAAAAAGCAAAGTTTCTTCTATTTATTTGATTTATATCCTGCCCTTTACTCAGGAGCTACAAAGGTTTACTGTAAACAGTTAAATTTGTGAATAAGACTGAGTTCAACGGTTATTAAAAATTATTTTTTAAAAATGAAAATTTAAGGTGATTTTCTATGTTTATTTTGATTTGATTTGCAGGAAATTTTGTTATTAATCATCCACAATATCCATTACTCATCCTGTATTTCACTCTGTCAATATCCATTTTCCACTTCTTCTTATGTTTTTTCCAATTCTTGTAGACAAGGAGAAAGCTATCTGAACACACTAAAGTGGTCACAACCAATACAAATTTAAACTCATTTCCCAGATAATTGTTCCAAAAGTGTTTTCTTCAAGAGGCAACTGGACTTCGGGTTTTTTGAAAGACGTTTCGCTTCTTGGGTGAGAAGCAAATCGTCTTCAAAGAAAAACCTCTTGAAAAAGCACCTTTGGGACAACCATGACCTAGATTACTGAGAATCTCCAAAGACATTCACAGATAACTGTTTTCACATTAGTACTTTGAAGTTCATTTTCATAACAGAAAATGGAAAAAAGGGAAATAGAGTCAGAGAGTAATTTATGTCCTATTTAGGAGAGAGAGAGAGGGAGAGGGAGGGAGGGAGGGAGGGAGAGAGAGAGAGAGAGAGAGAGAGAGAGAGAGAGAGAGAGAGAGAG